ATCCCCACGTTGGATGCATCACACTCTCCCTCGAAGAGCTGATTGAAATTTGATAATGTCAAAATCGGTGTCTGGGTCACTTTCGCCTTCAGTGTGTCAAAGCTAGTCTGAGCTACATTTGTCCACTAGAATTTATCTCCTTTAAAAAGCATTGTTGGGGGAGCGGTGATGACTAAAGCTCCTGATGAATCGCCTATAGAATGTTGCTAGTCCCAAAAACTGTCTCAGATCGATGAAAGACTGCGGTGCATTCCAGCTCACAATGGTCTCAATATTTATAGAATCAATCTGAATGTCTGCAATAGACACGATATGACCAAAAATGCATATTTGTGCTATCATAAAGTGGCATTTCTTTGGATGGGCGTATAACTTTTATGATCACAAAACTTCAATGACCATCCTAGGTGCTATAAGCGCTCCTCCTCGAATATGTTGCATACCAAAATTTTGTTGAAGTACACCGCCTTCAATTTATAGATGTGAGCCTGGAACACCTGATTCATCACTCTCATGAACATGTTGGGCACATTAGACAATTTGAAAGCATGATTGTCCACTCGTATAATCCATCTTAGGTCTTGAAGGTGGGCTTCCACTCATCTCCTGGCCTCATCCGAATCTGGTTATACCCACTGTATAAGTCGATATTGGAAAATACAATGGCTCCACTCAACCGATCTAAGAGATCGCCGAGGCACAATATGAGGAACTGGTATTTCTAGTAATCTTTTTGATGTTCATATTGTCAATGCACATCATCCACGGTCCATCTTTCTTGAGTACCATTCGGGCGAGAACAGCACACAGACTGGTACTCTCCCTAACCAACCCTCTCACAACAAGATCCTATACCTGACGCGGCAACTCCTCGTACTTTGCAAGTCTCAATATATAGGCAGCCCGATTTTGTAACACTGGTCCGGGTATAAGACTGGTGGCGAGTTGAATGTCTCTTAGAGACGGCAACCCATCTGGAAGATTCTCGATCAACACATGTTGGAAGTCACATAGCAGTGGTTGTATGAGTGTTGGTATCTCAATCTCCTCCTCATTTCCCTCTAGTAGAATCAACATCATTGCCACTAAAGCATTCCGAACCGACTACATGAAGATAGCTCTCAAGATGACTGTCTCCTCTGTGAAGTCTACCCCTCTCGAATCCTTGAAGAGTAAAAGCACGATGGGTCTCCCATACTTTTAAATAATTAAGTATTCTTGAAGCCATCATGTTGGGTCTGGCGGTCGAACTGTCATGGCCTCCCCAACAGAATATGGCACGCATCCATATGGACCACATCACACCACACTGCTCCTGTAATTGATCCCTACTCAAAAATTCAACCAAGCACTGTTGATCCACTCGTATCATGTTTCCCTTTTCAACAAGATAAGAGAGTAGGATTGAGGATGCTTCTATGTGGCCAACCCCAGTTTCTTCACCATCAACGTGGATGCTACATTCTCACAGCTCCCACCATCGATAATCAAGTTGCAATCTTTGCCCTTCACCGTGCACTTGGTGTGAAAAATATTGTGCCTCAGCCATGAATGATCCTTCTTCAACTCCATATGACTGGCATCTCTCCCTCATCTCCCTGGAGCTGAAGTTTCGCCTTTAAAATTTCCTTTGATTCCTCTTCCTCTACTTCCTCTATTTCCTCGACGACGCCCTACTCTATGAATGAAACAATTTAGCTCGTGGGACAGCTGAAGGCTTTGCGTCCGTAGCAGTGGAATCTGAAACATCTCCTAGCAGGCACTGCATTAAGCTACTCTTGTTCGGCTTCTTTCCACTCAGATATGTCTTATCACTTGTATGGTCTTTCCAACTCCTCTAGATGTACCCTTGTCAGTAGTTGTAACTGCACCACTATCTGAATGAGGATTGTTGTCTGCTCTGTTTCTACTTTCTTTCCACCTTCAAAGCTAAGATTCAGACATCTCCCAATGACTAATACGGCTACAGTGGCACCATGTTACTGATAGAGAGCTTCAGGCTCCCCGGATAATGGGCTATGGCATGTTTCTCAGGTTCGGCCAACTCACACTTCATCTGTAACTAGTCAAATTGTGTTGTGAACTCCTCCATTGATGTGTCTCTCTGTTGCAAGTGATGGCGTCTCGAATACATAACCTAGCGGTAGTGAGGTTATGGGTATTTTCTCTAAATCATCTTCCTCATTTTCTCCCACTTGATAAGCTTATCATTGCCCTCTCTCTCTCTCTACCTCTGTAAATTTTCCCACTATAGGTAGGCGCTCTTTTTCAGCTTGATAGTCGCAAGTTTTGCCCTTTTATCCTTGAGCACTTTGTTGTAATCGAAGATTCTCTCAAATTCATGCAATTAGTCGATAAAGTCGTCTGGATCCATACATCCATCGAACCCTAGTAAATCCACGTTGATGCAAAAATTCATGTGTCCTCCATATGCAGCCTCCTCTGATACTAAATTTTGAAGCGTCGAGGTCCAGCTTCCCCATCACTAACGTTTTCCCTAGGGAACAAATTCAAATCCTCTCAGACTTTCCTGATCACAATCAAGGGTAATTTCCCCCGAGTCTCATCATCAATCTCTGCAAGGCTTTGCTGAAGTCGGATGATCTCTCGTTGAATCTTGTACCGGGTATGTTCCGGCATGTATCTCCTTGGTGGCATGATTATGGTTTGGGCATTGGAAGAGGTAGTTGAGCATATGAAAGAAATTTTTTGGTGGGGGTGGTTTGGGTAAAGCAAATTATAGGAAAACCTCAGATAGGACTAGGATTAGTCTGGCTCATTAACGCAAAAGTCGATAGGAAAACTGATTTTTATTACGCCACAACATGTTACAATCAAGACTCAAAACAGGAAATGAAAAACAACACAACACGAATCTCATACTATGGCGTAGCAGAATAGTCGGTGGACAATGGTGAAAGGGTTGTGACAGGGGGGTGGTAGGTTGGAAAGGAGTTGGTTGGCTTGCTAGTAAAGCAGAGGAGACGGGTTAGAGGGTGGCAGCGGTACAGAAAGGCTGAGGGTATACGGCAATAAGAAGTGGGGTGGGGTTTTGTATGGGTGGACGACCATAGCAGGTGGTGTTGAGGTATTTTGCGAAAAATGTAAGGTTGAAGTGGGGCTGGCAGTAGAGAAACTGGGGGGGCCGCCGACAGCAGGCTGACAGAAAGGTCAAGGGCGTGGGGGAAGGCAATGACAGAGACGGGTGAACATGTAAGGAATTAAAGGGAGCTAGTCACCACCTGTCCTAAGATACAACCCTAGCAAGGGAGAAACATCAACGACAAAAACCTAAAATCAAAAAAAAAAAAAAAAAAAAAAAAAAAAACTAAACAAAAAAACAACATATTTATAATGAAAGAAAACTAGGAGGGGGAAACCCCTCCCCTTCGGAGGTAGTTCCAACCCTAAGTAGGATTGGTCGGTTTAGCCTCCTTGTTGGATCGACAACCTCCTTGTTGAATCGGTTCAGGCCCTAACCCCCGCAACATGATGTGCTAAAATTTTTAAAGATAATAGTAAACTTTCTTTGCACAATTAGTAACAATATGCCCATTGTCCTTGCAATAGGAGTTTTGCATGCATTGCAAATCCCTACTTTTTTTTTCTTATAGATTGCATAAGCAAATGCAATCTATTTCTTTTTTTTTTTTTTTACTCAAAGGTGATTTTTGTCTCAAGATGTTGCTCTTTCTGAAGTAATTCTTTAAAACAAGCATCTAAGGAGAGAGATTGCAATTCATTAAATTGGAGCAAGCAGTCTCAAATTCATGATGAAGTTTTATCAAAAATTGATCTCCCTTATTTTGTTTATGAACCTCTTGAACAATAGAATGAGATTCGATGGGAATTTCAGCATAAATCATGTCAAAAAACCTTCAATCCATAAATTTTGAAATCTAAAGAAATAATTTTGAATTGAGATATAGCCTTAGCTGTAACCAGAAATCTCAAATTATGATCAAAAAACATCCAGCTATATTATCTTAAATATAAAACTTTCATAAATGCTCTAACATAGCGTTGGCTATCATATATGGCCTTAAAATTAGAATAATTGCTAAATTAAAATATCTTAAGAACCATATCATGACATTTGCATCTTTGATTTGCCAACAAGCCATTTTAGAGAACTCAATGTGGGCAAGTTCACTACCATCAATGTGTTATTAAAGTTAGTGCCATATATAAGTTGCTGTTCGAATAGCTAGGGAACATGATGTGTCTTTTCATATTAAAAATCACCAAGGAATGAATGAGCTAGATGAGTGCTGAGAGTAGAATAAGGAGATCGATGTTCCAAGTGCCACTAGCTAAGCCCAAGAGCTCATAGTATTGATCTGCCTAAACCTAAGCTGATAGCTTAGAGTTGAGCATTGGAAACCGCAAAGAGAAACGGGCATCCTAGAGAATATGCACTGCAATGCACGCTACACAAGGGATCATCAATCGATAGGCGAAGGATCATACTGAGACGGCATAGCATGCCGCACTGGGAGTCCAGCTAAAAGATCATCAAGAGAGTTCACACCATGAGAACGAGACTTGCGTTAGAAGAATACTTTAGATTGCTATCATATAAATTAGATTGCTTTTATTTGTGAGTTCACATTATAAAGACGAATACTTTGGCATATAAAAGAATGAATTACAACCACTGTAACAATCAAATCAAGCAAAATTATAAACCTACAATTTTACTCTTACATGGAAAGATTTACAGCAATATTACATTATTAAAGGAAATCTACAACAATAATTATATGGCCATAGCACAGGAATCCTAAAGTTATTATGACAAAATTTTCCAAAAGGCAATATAAAAAATCCAACTGATAATTAATAAAGAATTAAATAGATCTTGTACAACAAAAAATAATAAATTTTTCAAAATATTCAAAAATTCCATACCCAAATTTTACATCATGTTTAAATATATCACATTAATGCTTCACAAGCATAAACTAATGAATTATTGGCAAGAAAAAGCAAACAATTACCTCATAGACCTTTCTTCTGTCATGGAGAAGGTATTGTGGCTTCAGCTCATTTACTAAGAATGGCCTATAATAGGAAATAAAAAATGCTTAACAAGAATACCAAATCTAAAGATCAAAATATGATGAACTAGTAAAGACAAGAAAAATCAAAAATTAAGGAAAGCTCAAATAAAAAACAACAATAAATCTTATGAGAATATGTCTCAAATGTAGAATGAAGCAAAAAAATAATAATAAAATAGAGGGATGCAAAGTTTAAGGAGACACAATGGTCAAGTGGCTCAATTAACAATAAAATACAAATAAACCCCTTCCCATTTAAAAAACTTTGTACGCAATGTCATTATCTTTCCAAGAGATTTAAAATGCGGGTCGTTTTCTCCCACATTATAAAGTAAACATTTTCTATTTTCTACCTAGTACAATAGCAGTCTTGTAACATTCAAATCCAATAGGTTATTCCCAAGAGGTGTGAATGAAAAAAACAAATGTAAATTTTCATTACATCCATTTTTTTAATAATATTGTTATCCTTGTTCCCTCTATCTCTCTCTCATGCATATGCGGTAACATCATCCAAAGGCCAAGCACAAACACTACCTTTCTCCTTTTCTTTCACTACATATTTATGGATCAAACATCTGCAAGAGAAGAGACGTGTTATTGCTAACAACCCCAACAAAAATTAAATAAAGAGAGATTACAATGAAGGAGCCACCTAACAAAAATTTTATCAAGAGAGAAAAAAAGGGGAAAAGGAAACGAAAATAATAGTGGAGGACCTATATACAAGTAATCACATGAAACTTCTCAAAAAAAATTATTGTATTCTTATCAAATTCAAGGAGTAAAATAAGGCTAGCATATGAATCAATGGATCAAATAAACAGATTTTAAAAACCATATGAATCTAATTACCATGAAATTTTCTAAAAAATCCATAAAACATTTACACAAAATAAACATAAATGCAACCCCTTCTTCCATTAACCCCTATTGCAAATAAAGGCATTATTTTTTTTGCTTTAAAACTCACCCATGATGATTAGGGTATTTGGGAGGAGAAAAAGAGGTTTAAAGAGCAGGGTGAGCTGGCGTAATTAAAAAAACTATATATGTTGTTTAATTATAGATTTGTTAGTTTTCCACTATCTTTGGCACCCATTTGAATTATATAACAAAATCTAGCAAAGTGACACATATCAACCCCATTTACTTATTTGAAGTCCTTCGAAGTACATGCATATTATTTTCATATTTGAAATAACCATTTTTACGCATGGATTTTAGACCTCTTAATAACATTATTAATAAGACTTCAAAAAGTTTCTAGCAAAAACTAAACCATCCAACCTTACAAGATAAGCTGAACAAAACTATAATCATCTATTTCATCAAGTGACTCCTATATATAGTGTAAGTGAACTTCTTCTTTTTATCACTTTATGCTGTTTATTTCATCAAGTAATAACATAATGTAACATTAAACACATCCAAAATTTACCGCATGTTATCTAATAACCGAGTTGTGAACTCTAAGAATATAACTCCAGCTTGTACATTCAAGCGATTCTAAATCAAATTTGCATAAACTGAAGTGAAAATTATGCAAGTCACTATCCTGTATATTCTCCCTCTGATGAGAACTTTCTGAACCAGTTCAATGTTTTCCAAAGGTACAGGACCATGCAGTTGATTACCAATCCCAATCACAACAGAGAACTTTTGATAAGCTAGTTTGTAGGATCCATGAAGCTTTGCTTTAATAATAGTAATCTAGTTTGGGGAAAAAAATATAACACGATTGTATCAAAGAAGATGGTAGAGGAACGGTGCAAGCTCGATCAAGATCTCATGATTTCATCTTGGATAGTAATAAACCTAACATAACGACAATTCCTAGACAATAATAACAAGATATAATGTCTAGAGACACTTTATAAACCTAAAGTAAAAGATTGTAGAAGGGGTCAAATTTGCATGACTTTTGACGTGCAATTCAAAAACATAGCAATTGAAAAACATCTAGGCTTAGTTCACAATATATAACATCATTGCAATCAATCAAAACACCAAATGGGGGATAGATATCACGTCCTTCTTGGCATGAGAGTTTTGAGTGCGAAGGAATTCTCTTCAGTAATGGTTTGTTTGCTACTGTCCATCATCAGGAGAAAAGTCCAAATTTTCCTCAACGTTTAAGAGAGTGTTTTCATAATAAGATCGCTCCAATTATGATATCCTAATAATTGAACTCTTAATCAAGGTGCTTTGATTTTTTGTTCTAGCAGGAGATTGTCAATACATGAGCCATGCTGGCTCGAATTACAAAGTATCGCACTTAGACATGGGAATCACAAACTGAGACTTGAAGAAGGTCTGATGCTCATGTTTTTATTTTGATTTTTATGTCAATATGACCTTGCTAATATGTCTTATCAATTCTACTAGTTTGCTCGCAGAGGATCAAAGTTGGTCATGGAGCACCGAATATTGAGAATTCAGGTAAACTTTTAGCACTTCTAAACATACCACAAATTTTGCATCCCTCAAAATTCGACCGAATCAATTTTATAAAACTTTACTAGACAAATCAATCAATTTGATATATAACACCATGCATGAATTTTAAACGTATTAGAATATATAAAATTATGAAAAAATAGTTAAATTAACCTTAATTAATTTCCTATTTCCCTATCACTGTTCCCAACCGACATTCCCCGCACTTAGGAGTGCATGTAAAGGTTGAATTTTAATAAAACAAATTGGATTAAATGGAATCCAAGCTACTCTACTTCTCTCTTGATTCCTTCTTCCTTCGTGAAGCTCGGCTCGGTCCTTATAACAGGCATGACAAACGACCGCGGAATGTTCGATCACGTGATTCGGAGTTAAAAGGAGAAAACGAAATGTATTAAACCCTCTTTCAAGATGTTATGGGCATTCATTTCCTTTTGTACGTTTTCATTTTAATACTTACTAAGAATTCAAGCATTCCATGTGTTTCCTATTGTTGTAGCTTTGCGGGAACAACCATGGAACTGTAGAACCAAGAACTACGCTCTCTGGTTGGTCCATTTCATGAGTTGGGGAATGGCTAAGGGGAAAGGAAGAAGAGGAAGCGGACTAGAAAAGTATCGAGGAGGCATATTTATACCGAGAAATCATATTTGGGGTTAAACTAAGATCTCAATAATGAATTTCATGTTTTTTATACTAGGCGGCAAGCTCCGGGCAAACTTGAGTCCGTCAATTCAAATAAAATACTCATGTACAAACTTAAGAAAAATAACTCTTGCTAGGTTTTCATGTGATTATATTTGACACTATAGTATTTAGAATTTTATTCATATTTAGATGAATATCTGCATTGACTATATGAATGCAAATTTTATTTGTCCCTTATGATGCATATGATTTTATTATGTTATGAATCTAAGGAATATTTTTATGAAATTATTGCTTGCAGGTATTCGTTTACTATGATTCATGCGTATAATATGTGAAATGACTATCACAAATGTTTGTTATAAGAATTGTGATTTTAGAAATGTCATAAATTATGTTATAGATAGGCTATTATATGAATACTTGAAAAAATGGATAATAGAGAGCAACGGGATCCCCGACTCTTGGCTTTTAGACGAAGACGAAACTCTGAGAATCGTTGGGACCATACAGGGATAGAAATATCAATGGGGCTATTAATAATGCTACATTGGGAGGGGCCCAATGTTTATCAATAGTTAATGTAAAAATCGGGTTGGGTGGTAACTCATAACATAACAAGACATGAAAATAGTTGAGGCCTCAATAATTAAAAATGGCAATCATATAAAGAGATTGACGACTTATGAATATGTTTATGATTACACATAAATAAATGAAATATATATTTTATATGGCAGTCATAATTTTCTGCATTACACGTCTTTCTTTTACAGATTTTATACAATTATAACATATTGTGACATGTGTTTTGACCGTGTACAAGAGTTACATATGCGTATGCATGTTGTTTCTTTTCATGTATAAAATCTTATTTTAGCCTTAATTTCGATGAGTTTATTGTAACTCACTCCACGTTGTTGACTTTCAGAGAGTGGTAAGGAGCACCAGGGCAAATAGCCATGTGTGACATGTATTGTTTTTTAATTTCATAGTTTTGAGAGTTTGTGCATACTTTTGGGAATGTTCATCTATTATTTTGAATTCAACAGCTTTGCATATATATTTTGATGATGAGTTTAAAGCTTCCAAATATATGAATGAATAATAAAGTGAAATGAATCATGTATGTTTGCGCGATTTAGTTTGACTGATTCTTTACTCATTAGGCATTGATTATGCAAGTCAGAATGGGTACTGGTGAGAATTTAGTTTAGCCAAATCACTTAACTCTATCGCATCGCGATTGACCCTTAAAAGATGGTCAGTTGGGACGTGATAGGTCAGATTTATAAATGTGGAGCATTTGAATTCAATTTTATCTTAATAACTATAGCAAGCAATGCATTGTTGGTTGGGGCTTCTATCTTGAATATTTGAGGAAGACTTGTCAGTTGAGACATATGTCCCTACCCTATCAGTAAAGCGGCCCAAAGTGTTTATTACTTTAATGAATTTTACTAAGACATGTCAAAAAATACCTTAAAAATGCATTTCAAATTATTTCCAGTTGAGACATATGTCCCTAACCTATCAGTAAAGCGGCCCAAAGTGTTTATTATTTTAATGAATTTTACTAAGACATCTCAAAAAATACCTTAAAAATGCATTTCAAATTATTTTAGCAATGATTATGATTGAATTATCAGCCGACAATTTGCGATGAAAAAAGATTAGTTTGATCTCAAACAAAAGGCATTACTTTTGCATTGGTGATTGTTGGAGAGTCACGATCATCTTAGCATCATCATTCTTTTGGAGAGGATCAAGTGAAAAAATTGGGATTAGTAGTCCTATCATACAGGAAGAACTTTCATGTTTATTGATCATAAAATGATTTGAAGGTCGTATGCCAATGTCATGCCAAAATCTTCGGTAGGATTTAAGGTTCAATTCTTTATTCCCCAAAATGAGATGAAACACACTTATACGATTAGACCAGGGTGAAGGAATTATATTTATTCTTTTATCACTTGTAGGAGAATAAAACCTATCAACTCTGCTCCTCGTATATGGATGATTGAGTCATGAATAAATTTCTAGTTTCTTCATATTTCTGCTTGATATTTTTGCAAGTTATTCATGTTTTTCAGGCAATAAAATGGAGTTGAATGCCTCAAAATAAGCATGAAATAATTTAAAATTGTTCAAAGTATTTTATCAAATTTTCTTCAATTCTTTTATGCTTTTTTCCTGTTTTTTGGGATTTATCTTAAATTTTTCTTTTATTTTCTATAATTTGTTCATTTTTTATGCATAAAAATTTAAAAAAATTAGATGTCGTCCTCATCCTCTCCACTCACTTGAGCAAGTATGCCAGCAATGGGATGCTAAATGTTGGAACTTACAAGTATTTCAAAGAAATTGGTAAGTTACCATCTAAGTTCAACTTCCCTCAAAAAGTACATGCAACATTTTGGAGCAGTTCCAGATACAATTTTTATGTTCTCATTGAAATTTATGTATTCATTGAAATGTATGTAGAATTTTCCATATTTTTAGGCATGCACAAGCTCTTTGCATAGTGCAATTCGACTCAGAATTTGTCTTATTATGTGTGTCCATCACTCAAAATTTTCCAATATGACCTTTTTCTTATTGCAAAATGAGCATAAGGTTTCACATTTGTGTAAATTTGGTAGTATTTAAAGCATTTGCATGCTTTTCTACTCGAGCAGCGTACTCATTTTTTTTGTCCATTTGCAATTTCAATTATAAGTATGAATTGCAACGTAAAATCTTAGTAATAATTCAAATGAACCAGTTTACACATTTTTAACTACACAACTTTTGAATAATCATTTATAGTGCTTTTCATAACAAGATGGGGGTGTATGATTGTTTAAAGGTGGTTCCCTGCACGAAGAATGTAGAAATGCAATATTATAATTGCCTTGATATGTCAAGAACGATGCATATGGTAAGCATTCGAAGAAGCGAGATCACTCCATATAGATTGTTCGAGATCGGCATCATATTTGGGAAATGAAGATAAATAATTTATAGCTAGTGAAAGTAAGAAGGTTAGACATGATGGAGTTCCCCTATAAATATATATTATTATACCCTCTCATTTCTTTATATATATATAATTTAACATTATTAATAATATCCTTATTATTTTTTTAGTTACAGGTGTGTGTGCATTCCCCTATAAATTCTCTCCCTCACATATGATATATTTCACTCATGCCATGCATCTCAAGTCAAGTAGAACGACGGTCTCCCTAAACAATTTCAGTATACTTGATGCATTAGAATGGTCATTTCGCTAGAATAAGCAATGAATTTATGATGTTTTGAGACAAATTTTTGTGAAGGTGTATTCATCTGTCTTTGTTGTCATTGTTGCTGACCCAGTCAACTTATGAACCAAATATGTAAGGCAACACAAACCGAATAGAAAATAGACATTGAAGTCATTAATAATGAAATTCAGATAAACATATAATCTATAACCACAAAAAGAAACCATAGCATAAAAAAGTTGTATTAATTGAGCAAATAAAGGTACTAGCATGCAAGAATCCTCACTTCCGTAGTTCAGCATAAGCCTCTGCTTTTTTGAGCGGATAACCCGATGAATAGAAGGCAATCAAGCAATCACAAATCGGCCAGCTGAAATTCAAAAAAAAACACTCGTTGACACACATGAATAGTTAACCAGAATCTGCCAATGGCTAAAAAGCTTCAGTGGAAAAGCATCTCAAAGACAATGTGAACTGTGCTGGAAAATAAGCTCACAATAAATAACATCAAATATTAAACTCACAAAAAATAACATGAAAAATAAAATTCACTTAATAAAGAAAGATACGAAGGAAAAATGGTTAATTAAAATATTAAAATAGTAAAATGTCATTCAACTAGGAAAAAATGGTGCCTCTAAAACAGACGGTCTTACCTAGGATGCCTAGAATTTCTTTCATAAACTAATATGACAAGTGATATAATCCAGAAAATCACTTTATGCATTTCTTCAGATTAACACAGCATGGACTATTTAAATGAGCATAAAACAGTATTTAACTTGTAAAAAACATGTTACAGAATAAGTAATCTTCAGTTAACTCCTAAGAGCAGAGATAATAGCTAAAATAGTATTTAATTATCATAAAAAGTGGTTTTAGTGATGCAAAATTGAAATGCAGGTTCAAGATGATTTGATGCCAATATATGGAATTTGGCACGGCAAATTCAGCTCATTAGCATAGCCTGCTCGTTGGCCAAACAGTAAAGAGCCACAGATAGTTCCTTTTGCTAGAACATGGCAGAATAAAGTAAATCATTAAGCCTGAGAGATTCAAACAGATATCCATCCAAAAGTCAAATTGCTAATACCTGCAAAAGTGATAATGATGTGGCTGTCAAGGGTGACCGATGAGGGAGCCGGCAGTTGTGTCTAACGCCTGGTATTTTGAGAGCCGGGCTGACTCTTTCGGGGGTCGTGTGTTGATTCAATACAGCCGTCGGCGTCTCTGTTTTCCCTTCTAAAGTTGTATCTAGGAGTTTGTGTGGTGCTCCGATAATATCTCACTCCCGATGTACCCGATGTAGTAGTTATCCTTTAGCTTCTTTCCCACATCGCTCCCCATCACCCTCCCTTGCTACAGCAGCCCATAACAGCCACTCCCCTAATGTTTTCTGCAATTCCAGATGCCGCCAGCTGCCTTCCCTCCCCCATTCCTCACCACTGCCCAGAACTGTGCCGCCTGCTGTTTTCCTGCAGTCCAGCCCACTTCCCTACTTGCTGCCGCCCCGGAAAGCAAGTACCTACCGCCTTACTGTTGTTTTCCCCGCGGTGCAGCCCACCTCGCTACTTGCTGGCACCCAGGACAGCAAGTACCAGCTATTTCCCTACTGTACCCGTCACCTGCTCTACTTCCTCATCTTGTCGTCGCCCATCCAAGACCTTAACAGCCACAACCACCACCTTAGATTCATCCTAGTTGTGTTGTGTGTTGTGTGTCGTGTTTGCTACAATTTCATATTTTTGTTTGTTTGGTTGTAATTTTCTATTCGAATTCAGCAATAATATTATTTTCCAATTGTTGTTTGGTTCAATTCAGGTATCAAATAAAGTCAATTCAAAAGCTTTGCTTGAGAAAAATGGCTTTGACATCATATGCAGAAAGCCACATAAAACCCGTGCATGGTGGTAAGCTAATCCAAAGGGATGGAAGATGAGTGCCCAACCTATTTTAAGCTGATGTTGCAAAACAAATGTACGATGTCACGTATCTAAACTAAATGAATAATTGCATACAAATACGATGGTTTTGTACAAAGACAGCCATGGATAATAAAGTAGGTAGACTAACAAATTATATGTGGAAACTATAATCCATGCTTTATAACATCAGAAATAGTGCTTTTTGTGTTAGCCATGAGAAAATTTTATAACAAAATGCAATATTATGTGATGACATACTCTTCTACAGGCTCCTCGAGAATAACTTTGTCCCCAAATAATATTATCTGCATCAAAAGGTAACCAATCAACACATCGATAACTATAATAGAAGCACAATAATAAGCAGTTCTCCACTAGAGTAGAATAAAGGTATAAACTAACTATACGAAAAATCAGCATCAGAAATACATCTGTCCCTGGTCAAAAACTTAAGTTGCAGATTAATGTATCATTTCACATCTACCTTATTCATTTGGAAAATGGGTTTAATATTACGAGATAATGACGGTGTTTGGTAGGATAATTTAAATAGGATTTTGTCATAACTTTGGAGTAAATCCAGCCAAACATTAAAAAAATGAAAATTAAATCCAACACTTCTTTAAATCAAATTGTATCGTGTTCCGCCTTTTCTTCCGGCATTTCGTCACTTTTAGGACGTAAATACAATTAATAGATATTGTGAGATGGATTTCAGAATTGCTTCCTGTTGTCGTTCGTGAGCATATCTCCCCCACACAGCTATCAGATTTATCTAGACTTGATAAATCTTATTTAACATAAATTCAGGTTGCAGCTAATCCCCGCCAAAGTGTCGCAAATATGAATGCCATGAAATCTTGATACCATAAATGGAAATATTCCTCATCAACGCAAGAAGGAAATCAAAATACCTTCATAGTTATATTAATCAACTTTTAACTAGACTAAACTTACTTCTATCATCATCATATAGACATCGTATTATTTGAAACGGATTCGAGACACCGTATTACTACAAGTGAACGAATTATATAAAGACATTTTCTTCGAGATCCATTCGCCTATAGCACGGGTCAATAAAAAAAAAATGGTCGGGATATTTTCATACGTTAAAAATGTAACGATCATTGAAAAATGCAAACCAACCTCAAATTCCCCAAAAGCCTGCAGCCTCTCCAAAATTTGCCCCATGGGCGCAGAGTGCACCTACGATCAAACAAAAACAATAAAAAATAAGAAGCAAGGAAACAAACGACCAGCCATTCCAATTTGAAATCAAACAACCCTCCAACTGCATTAAACCAATCCCAATATGATAAAACACCCGCAAAAACAACCATTCTTATTTCCTTCCAACGCAAAACCGATCGATGAGACCAAGCACAGACGAATTTTAGTAAGAAATAGAACCTCTGCTCCGCATTTCACCTTCTTTTCCATGACGCAAACGCCGATCTTAATCTTTCCCAACGCGGCGGCGCCTTGCGTCACCATTTCTATCCACCTCTCTGTCTACCACGCACACACGCACAAACACAAACCGCTAAGGGATTCCCGATCGGCGAATGGAGCCTAGCGGATGCCGAGAATTATACTCCCCAATCTGTCTCGTCTATTTCATTAGATCCGGATCAAGGAAGATACCGAGAATTCCACCCCCCAATCCGTCGTTTATTTCATGAGATCCGGATCAAGGCATATATATCACCATTCCTCCTCCTCCACTGTACGGTGGATCCTTTTCAGTGAGCGACTTGGTGGGGTTGATTCGGGCGAATTGGAATAAGGCTTAAAAGGGAAATGAATCCGGCTGGAATCGATATCTTGAAGTGGGTCATTGACCTGCCCGCTTTTTGGAATTTGGAAGAACCGTTTTGCGGCGGGTCAGCGGGAAGTGGGAACCAGCCGGTTCGCGTGCTCTGTGCTGACCCGGCTTTGTGCGGGGAGCGGTTTCG